AAAAAAAAAAAAAAAAAAGACCTCTGGCTGGGCGTAGAGGCTCACATCTGTAATCCCAGCACTTTGGGAGGCCAAGGCAGGTGGATCACTTGAGGTCAGGAATTCAAGACTAGCCTAGCCAACACAGTGAAACCCCATCTCTACTGAAAATACAAAAATTAGGCTGGGTGTGGTAGCTCCTGCCTGTAATCCCAGCACTTTGGGAGTCTGAAGAGGGCGGATCACCTGAGGTCAGGAGTTCAAGACCAGCCTGACCAACATGGTGGAACCCCATCTCTAGTAAAAATACAAAACTTAGCCAGGCATGGTGGCACATGCCTGTAGTCCCAGCTACTCGGGAGGCTGAGGCAAGAGAATGGCGTAAACCCAGGAGGCGGAGCTTGCAGTGAGCAGAGATCCGGCCACCGGACTCCAGCCTGGGTGACAGAGCGAGACTCCGTCTCAAAAAAAAAAAAAAAAAGAACGAGGAGGATTCTAATGAATGTAAAGAAAGCAAGGAAAGGGGAACCCTGAGGAAGACTAGGACGACACCAAACAAATGAAGAAAGAACTGCAGGCATGTCTGAAGAAAAATAAGGAAACCAATTAGGTTGTTGCCAAGAAGCAATACAAATGTCACCTTTATGCCACACCTCCTCCTCTATGCTCATGTAGCTCTTTATTCTTCCTTCTATTACAGTGTGTGACATTATAATTATGTTCTCACATAGTTGCCCACTAATATAAATCCCTTTAGGGCAGGGAGAATTATTTTTTGAGACAGAGTCTCACAATGTTGCTGTTGCCCAGGCTGGGCTCGAACTCTGGGGCTTAAGCAATTATCGGGCCTCATCCTCCCAAGTAACTGGCACTATGGCAGGTGCCACCACGCCACGCTAGGATTTCATTTTTAAATTTTTCACAATGCCTTAACACAGTGTCTAGTCCGCAGATGTTCAATAAATATATACATTTTTGACTAAATTAGTTAAAAATATATATATATAAAAAATTGTACCAACCTTTAAGTCAAAGTAATACAGTACATAATTTACAATACAAAATATTTCAATACTACTTCAGGGGGCCGGGCATGGTGGCTCACGTCTGTAATCGTAGCACTTTGGGAGGCCAAGGCAGGCAGATCACTTGAGGTCAGGAGTTCGAGACCAGCCTGGACAACACAGTGAAACCCCATCTCCA